GATTACTATATCACAATTTTCTGTATTTGTCAACTCTGGCCTGAGAACCACTATGTCTACTTAACTTTAACACTTGGAAAGGACAGCAGAATATAACATAATGAGAACAATATGTTTAAAAAGATGAAAAGCCAGTTCTAAGGAAAGCCAGTTGATGTAGTAGTCAAAATATTGCATTGGAATTAGGGAGCCTTAAATTCAGGAGAGGCTGACAGATTTTGGAGTAGTTATTAGCTTATATTCTTTTCAAAAACATAATGGAAGAATGTGCCTGTTTTAATTTTATTCAGAATAAGTTTGCCTTGATAACAGAAATTTGAGAAAGTGCAGTTATTATTGAATGTAATTGGGACTTGCAAAATCAATTCTAATTACTAATTTAGTTTATTCAGATAATTACTTGATTTGAATAATGACCTTTTCCTTATTTTTCTATTAGTTTTACCAACACATACACACATAGAGGCCAACCAATATGTCTCCTCCCTCTGAAAGATTAAAAATGTAGTTTTAGTATTTACAGATCATGTTTTAAAAGAACTTCTTTCAGGAAGGTAAAAAGAAAGGAAATAGTTTCACCACTGTTTTGAATAACTTATTGTTCAGATTCCTTGTACAGTAAGAATGAAAAGTGAACAGGTTCATGCTATTCTTTATTTATACTACACTTGTTTCAACTAGAATATACACACTGTATCTCCAAAGCAGATAAGAACCCCTCTATCTTGTACATGAGTGACACAGAGTCTGTCAGACATTAAAATTGCAAATAAATGATGATATACAGGTAGTCCTTGACTTACAACAATTTATTTAGTGATTGTTTGAAGTTACAATGACATTTTCACACTTACCACCATTGCAACATCCCCATGGTTGCGTGATCAAAATTCAGACACCTGGCAACTGATTCATATTTATGACAGTTGCAATGTCTGGGGGGAATGTCATCTTTTGCAACCTTCTGACAAGCAGAATCAGTGGGCAAGCCAATTTCATTTAACAACTGTTATTAACGTAAGATCTGCAGTGATTCACTTAACAACTGGGATTAGAAAGGTCATAAAATGGGGTAAAACTCACTTAACAAATGTCTTGCTTAGCAACACAAATTTTGGGCTCAATTGTGGCTGTAAGTCGAGGGCTACCTGTATATATGTTTTAAAAGATGAGGTATACACATAAATATGTAATTCTATTAACAGTGCCAGCCTTGCTACTAGACTGGAAACTAATCATAACTAATGTTTTCTGATGTATTCACTTTATTAATAGACCATGTCTCCCTTCTCTTAGCAGAATTAGTGTGTTTCAGAATAGCAAGAACATTTATAGCTACCGTCTTGTGATTTATTGTCAGCAGCAATAATTGTAATGTTGTAAAATCTTGCAAATAAACAGCCAAGTGGTAAAAATAAAATTCTGTACAAACTAGATATCCAGATATAATAATTTATTTCTCAGTAGGCCATAAATGTTCACCTTAATAATTCAGCTGACTTGTAACCATTAGGCCCAGGCTATATAATACTATTTTTTCTGGAACATCTTATGTCATATAAGAGGACAAACTGTGTATCCTACAATTAAATAAATGCATTCAGAATTGCATTATTTGTTCATTTGTTTATGTTCAAAAAAGGTATTTGAGAAGTAAATTTACATAACATTTGCTGTAGCAGCTACGTATTTAAAAATATGATACATCTTTGACCCATTGGACTTTTGACAAGCAGGTGCAAAAATAACTTGAAGGTTTCTATACATGGTCAAAGAGCTATTTCAACATATTCTTTTTACCTTCCTTGTTTGTTTTTAATTTTCTCGGCACCCATGAATTGTTTTATGTGCCCTTAAGCATCATAATTTTCAAATAGTATTATTTGGTAATACATTGTGGGTTCCCCCAAAACTGTTGATACTTCTTTAGTTCATTGTGGATGCTGTTTGGCTTTTGGCTATACTCATAAAATTGTCTTTTAAAAAATGGGCAGTTTCTATAATAGAACTTCCTTCTTTAGTTCTTCTTCTCCAGTTAGTTTTACTCTATACTCTGTCACAATTTTCTTTCACAATCTCCTTTGGTTTTCAAGTGGAGAAATAAAGGCAAGACTTCAACAGAGTTGCCAGGAGAAAATAATCAAAAAGCAAGTCTTGATTTCTCTGTATTCCCCTTCCTGTTCTCACTCCTTTTCCTGAATAAAGATTTATTTCTTCTATAAAGTTCTGCCTATGTAGCATTCCCATTTTTCCCCATAAGTATTCTGAAGCAATATCTGTATTAAAGCTTGAGAAACAGTAAGTCATATGCAAAGTCTGAAGCTCCCACTCAATGTATCTGCTTGCAGCTGGATAAAACATTTAGTTTAACCTTTTCAACAGTTGCTTGCTGAATTGCCTGTGGTAAATTATTGTCCATGGAAGTAGTTAGGTGAAATAAGAATGAATTCAGGGTACCAAGAAGTTGCAAATAACTACAAATGTTCTTATTCTTATGAAACTGAACATTTGTGGGATAAATGTTTGATTCGTGGGAAGGAGATTGATTTACAAGCAGCAGGCTTAATCCCCATGAATTATCTTGAGAGGTTGAAACTATTCAGATAAGTGAAGGGTCAAATACTTATTTTTATAATACAATCCTAAATTCACACTTCTTGCTTTGAATTATTTGTTTTTTTCTGTGAAGTAATTGGAGAGCTGCTGCCTGACCTGAAAGACATTTCAGGCTGTTCCAGTAAAAAAAGGAAAATCATTATTTCAGAGACAAAATTGATTGCTGTAATATGCTTTTCTTGGAATACTCCATCAAAAACATACAGTATTGAAAGAAGGAGTATAGATATATCCATAGTTTGAGGAGGTAGCAGAAAGGGAGAAACCTAAAACAGTGTAGCTATTGACAATGCAGTCACTCTGTGTGGAGTTAGGCAATTGTGGGTTGTGAATTGCATCTTTTACAGCTCTGAGATCATGCCAGTAAAATTGTGTAACAAAACAACTAAACTTTTGGTAACACTTTTTTAAAAACTCCTTATGGCATTTAAACTTTTTAAAATTATCTGTTGATTACTGCAATTCCAAAAAGCCTTTAAATGGCTTATAAATAACATAAAAATAAAATGAAAATGTAACTACATCTCAGAATTAAAAACAATAAATCCTACTGTGCATTAACATAAGCATGACAACAATCATTGCCTACTACAAGGATCTGCTGCATATTCAAACCCCTGAGGCTTTCCAGCAAAATTAAAGTGTTAAACTTGATGCACTGAATCTTTGGCTTTCGGTAATTACTATCAGTTTAATTTAATGCCTGATTCTGGTTTGCAGAGCTGTTGATATGAGTATTTGCACCAGACCTCTAAATATTTGCTATACATTGTATAATGCAGGAAGTTCAAACACAAAGCTTTGTGATAATTAATGGCTGTCCAGAAGAAAGAGCATGCTGATAGATTTGACTATTTAATTAGGCATTGTATTAACATTTTTAATATATTAGCTTGCACCTCTAACGTACCATTCATAAATACAAAATTACAATGAAATATATCCATTAAAACAAAAATGGAGGATTAAAAACAAATATGAAAACAGATTTTATTAATTAATTCAAGATCTTATAAAAAGAATAAGTTAAACCAGATGTATCAATGCCAAGCTGGTAAAGCAACGTTTTGTCTTTTTTCAACTGTTGCTTTATATTTCAGTACTTTATTCAGTAGAGATACTTCCTTTCGCTGTTTTCTTCAAGGAAGTGAAAATGTTATATCAACATGCTGCAGAGATTTAGAAAGACCAACTAAATTGTAATATTGAGCTTCGCTGAAATACTCAGACATAAAGTGTAAAGGAGAGTAATATGCAGTTGTTGCCACCCAAAGTGGATTTCCTAGTTGGTTCATCAACTAGAATGCCAATCATTTGAAGGCAATTTTATAAGAATTGTATTATAGTGGAAAAAATTTCAAAATGGTGAAAAGCACAGTAGTACCTTAAGTAAGTTATATATGGGTATGTAGAGTATGTGAAGAAAAAGAAATAATATGCGAGAATTGCTTTTTGAAAAACGTCAAATATTTTAGAATAACTAATTTTAAACATATGGATCAAACATTTGAATTAAATAGGAACATAAATGCCTGTTAATCTTCTGATTAATCATAACATTGATATTCTTTATAGGAACTAGCTATCTTTGAAAACCTGTTTGATTTAGGACAGTGGTCCCAAATATTTTTGAAACCAGGCACCACTTTTGTGGAAGACAATTTTTCCACAGACTGGGTGGTGGGAGGAGAAGATGTGTGGAATCTAGATCCCGCACATGCACAGTTTGGCTCACCTGCCACTCACCTCCACCTGTAGAGCTCAGTCCCTAACAGGCCTCAAATCAATACCAGTCTGTGGCACAGTGGTCGGAGGTCCCTGGTTTAGGGCACATGAATATATTTCTATCTTATTAATTACTGTATATTTGTAATACATTGCAACACTTTCTCTGGTATATAAACTTGGAGAAATCATTTACCATTAAATAAATTGTTTACACTGTATGCAATAGCATAGTTTTATGATGAGTAATATTAGGACTTCTTAGACATATTCCAAGTTCCAGGATTTGATCTGTAGGAGTCTTTCAGATGGACCTTTAGATCATAGTGTTATGTCTAACACAACTCAATAAATATTTGTTTTACAAAACAAAAATATACAATTTTGTTAATTTATATTCATGTGATATTCTTTGTTTACATGTATATTAAATAAAGCAATACTCATAGTCCTATAGCTCCTTGTAATCAATTTATTTTTGCAGATGTATGGGGGTGGGGGGTTTTCATTTGTACAGGAAATATATGTACATTATAAAAAATACTTTAAAATAGTTACTGTACTTTTATTCTTTCTTGTAGAGTTCTTAAAGTGCTTCAACTGTAATTCACATGAAAATGACTGAAATTTCTGATTTGTATTTGTTTGCTTTCTTCTAGTGGCAACAGATGTCTTTAACTCCAAAAGTTTGGCCATTCAGGCCCAAAAGAAAATTCTGTGCAAAATGGCTTCCAAATCAATAGCAATTGTTTTGATAGATGACACCAGTAGTGATGTGTTGGATGAACTCTACCGAGTGACAAAGGAATACATACAAAACAAGAAGGAAGCTGAGAAGATAATTAAAAATCTCATTAAGACTGTTATCAAATTAGCAGTCCTCCACCGGAATAATCAGTTTAATCAGGAAGAGACTGTACTCATGGAGAAGTTCAAAAAGAAGGTTCACCAGTTGGCTAAAACTGTGGTGAGCTTCTATCAAGTGGATTATACCTTTGACAGGAATTTTTTATCAAAATTGTTAAATGATTGTAGAGATCTACTTCATCAAATAATTCATCGTCATCTGACTGCAAAATCTCATGGACGTGTCAACCATGTGTTTGATCATTTCTCAGACTGTGAATTTTTGGCTGCCTTATACAATCCATTTGGATCTTACAAGACTCACCTCCAGAGGCTTTGTGATGGCGTCAACAAAATGCTAGATGAAGACAATATTTAGTTATATCATTATCAGTTGCTTATATAATCAAAGGCTAAATATTGTTGATGTCTTAAGGAGCCAATGAAAGAATGAAGACATGCTAGACAAAGAAGAATTTAATGTCAACTGAAAATTCTTCAACAGATTATTTATTTGGAATTACATTTTTGCTGTTTCAATTTTTTTTGAGAATACTATGCTTTAAAATATGGATTTATAAAGCCATAAAACAGGACTACTCAAAATAAATAGGACTTCATAAAATAGCAGGGATAATAAAATGTCCTATTCTAAAAATATTTGCAGATTGTGTCTATGCATACTTACAGAGAGCTGTGTGCTACCTATGTTGAATGAAGTTTAGACTGAACAGATTTAACAAAACCTTTTAAAATTCATTTAAAACTGTCTGCACTCTGCATAAATGTTTAAGTTACATTGTTATAATTATACTATTGAAACAATGTCATGGCTCTTTGAGGTCTAGAGCTTCATTTTTTAAAATGTTCAGGGCTTCCACTAGAAAATAATTTAAGAGGTGTGAATTTCTTTTTCCATCACTGTTCTATCCCATATTATAATAGAGTCTTTAAGTTGCTGTCCTCTAGCTATTCTTGCAATAAGAAAGGACAGCATTTCACATAATGTGCTTCTGAAAAACCCTGAACTAAACCTATATACTTCCAGGGCAATAAGACTGGGCTTCGTGAACCTTTCTTTAATCAGCTTTATGATTTATGATTTTAGCTTTATGATTTGATTTCTTCATCTGTTCTGGAATTATTTTGTATTATTTATCAATGTGTATGTATTTGACAATCACTGAAAATTTACAGACATCCTCTACATCCTAAACATGCTTAATAGGACTATGTCATATATAGTTAAAATATAATTGCGTCCGGTTATATTTTGTAGAAAAATGTCCTTTCAGATGTAATTGTTCAAGAAAAGATGAAACTGGAATAGGTGTGTCATCTACATGTACATGTAATCCTTAACTTGCAACCTCAGTTGGAATCACAATTTCCATCCAAAGCATGGCAGTTGTTGAGTGAGTCATACCCAGTTTTGTGAAGTTTTTTGCCACAGTTGTTAAGCAAATCTGGCTTCCTGCAGTGATTTGATTTTTTTTTGATGCTGGCTGGGAAAGTCACAAATGATAATCACATCACCCAGGACACTGCAACTATTGTAAATACATGCTGGTTGTCAAGGACTCAAATTTAAATCACCTGACCATAGGGATGCTGTGATGATTGTTAAGTGTGAGGACCTGTTGTAAGCCACTTTTTTTCTATTCTATTGTAATTCCCAACAATTGCTAAACAATGAATTCTAAATTAAGGATTACCTGTATGTACATTTTTAGGGCAAGTTTATCGAATGTAGTGATTCTTAGAAAAGATATGGGTAGTAATCTGGATGTAGAAACTACAAGTCTGTGAACCAAATTTGTAATATTTGTGTAATTTTGTTTTATTCAGAAACCAATGTATATATCATGTAGGTTGAATATATAGCAAATATTGGAAAATATATTGCAGCAGCTTGAATAATTTTGTTTAATCTTTGTACTGCTGAAAAAATGTTGAACATGTAATGCTTTACACTTCAAGCAAGTGGCTGAAAATTTTTACTTTTTCAGACGTTTTTTATATTTTCTGAGTAAACTGAAGAACATTTGCACTCTTTTAAGTTTTATGCATGATTTTCTCTATCATTGCAGACATGGGCAATTTAATAAAATCCAGACCAATTTTTAACTTAGCTTTATAATTTTCTGTCAATTACTGTAAATTATTATTCTTCTGATATGACATTTCCCCCTCCTCCTCCTTTCTCTTTCTGCAAGTTATGTGCTTTTAGCATTGTCAGATAACAATCTGTTACATTAGCTGAGATGGATAGAGTTCCAAGCAAAGAAATGCCCAAGTAAAGATAATCTAGAAATTCAGATGAAGTAAGTTGTAGCTGCTTTAACTTTTAGATGTCAGAATTCCAGCAGTTACCCCAAATTAAATCATGAGTCTTGAGCCAAACTAAAAAGGATTTATTGGGAGTTAACATTTCAGCACAATCTGGGTGTAGCCGACTCTGTCACCCTTGACCCTGCTTTTCCCCCATCCCTCTGGGTGTATCATTATTCATATTCTCCAATGAAACACGTCCATAGCCAAGAGTCATCAATCATGTTCTCCAGTTAGATTTTTGCATGGCAGAAAGTGCAGTCACCTAGTTACAATCTCTGAAAAACTATGCATGGAATGCACTTTTGATTCCAAGCTGCCACACTGATCTTTCAAACCCTTTCCCCCATCCCTGTCTGTTGGCAACAATAAAACGCCCATAGAAATGTTTTATGAGTTGACATTAGGAGTACATGATACTTTAAGGCCTATATTTAATAAATAAAATTTTAGATGGGCCAAGGACTGAAGTGGATAGAGCAGCATTATGTGTGTCTAGGATAGGTAGTTCTCTTTTTTATTCCTTTCAAAGCAAGTTCTACATTTCTCTCACTTTTTAATAAAAAAAAGAACTGGGTGGTTTTAGGGTTTGTTGTTTTTTTGCCTTAAAATGGCAGGAGTCTATCTGTCAGGAGTCTATCTGGTTAGCTTTTTGCAGTTTGTACATTTTATCTCACAAGCATATTTGGGTATTTAAGCAAAATATAACCTGGTAATAATATAATAATGTGTATATGCTACTAAAACTTTAATGTTCCTAACCTGTATGAAACAGGGCATCGTGTCAATCATGTTATCTCAGATGGGCTAACTTAAAAAATGCCAGGACTTAATATACACCATCACTCTTCTACTGTTTTCTTTGTTTATATGAATTTGATATCACTTCCCTCTAATTCACTGTTTCTTATCCTCAGCAATTTTAAAAGGGGTGGACTTCCCCAGAATTCCCCAGCCAACTCCCAATTCTGGCAGCTGCAGTCCAACCGTTTTAAAATTGCTGAGGTTGAGAAACACTACTCTAATTCTTCATTTCATTTCCTTCCCCATCAACATACCATGGTTATCTTATTTATCAGGAGAACATTTCAGTGCAATATTATATAGTATATAAATGCTTCTACCACAATTAGATGCATGCAAAATGTTTTAAGATTAAAATATTTTGTGCACAAATTGTACATTTGAAATGTTTCATACACCATTCACAATAATGCCTTTGCTAATCTTCAAAATAGCACAAGACATTTTTATTTTACACTTTAACTTCAGTAATTACATTTTATAGCATAAATTTAAAACCAGGATGTCTATGTCACTCTTTATTACCAGATGCTGTTGCCCTGAATAAACTCTAAATAGAGTGTATCCAAATTCAGTTAATCTTAGTATGATTGTCCTGTATAAAAATATTCATTCTAGCGTGATTTCTTCACTTTACCCACATTAAAGATATGACATTTCCACAGAAAATCTAAGGACCTTGTATTGAACCGGCGGCACACTCTCTTATTGAACACTCTTTCAATGTATTTTTTCAGTACAGATTAGGCGAAACCTGGGTCAATAACAATAACAATGTGAGAGGGACTTTGGAGTCCTAGTGGATGATCACTTAAACAAGAGCCAGCAGTGAGCGGCAGCAGCCAATAAAGCTAATACAATCCTTGGTTGTATAAACAGGCATGGAATCAAAACCATGTAAAGTATTAGAACGGCTTTATGAAGCCTTAATAAGACTGCGCCTGGAACACTGCCTCCAGTTTTGGTCACCACATTACAAAAAATATGCTGAGACTTTGGTAAAAGTACAGAGAAGAGCAACTAAGATGATGAAAGACCTGGAAATTAAAACATAGGAAGAACAGTTGCAGGCTTTGGGTTTGGCTAGTCTAGAGAAAAGAACTAGGGAGAACATGATAGCAGTGTTCCAGTATTTGAGAGGCTGCCACAAAGAGGAGGGGGTCAGTTTATTTTCCAAAGCACCAGAGGGCAGGACAAGAAACGATGGAAACTAATTGAGAGAAGCAACCTGGAATTAAGGATAGTAAGGACAATTAACCAGCTTGTGGAACAGCTTGCCTTCAGAAGTTCTGGGTGCTTTATCACTGGAGATTTTTAAGAAGACTGGACAGTCACTTGTCTGAAATGGTATAGGGTCTCCTGGTTGAGCAGGGGGCTGGACTAGAAGACCTTCAAGGTCCCTACCAGCTCTATTCTAATTCTGATTATTCAGGGATTGATTGATGGTATCTTGTCTTTAAAGTAGATTAATTTTTAATTTTTGGTTCTTGTTACTGCCTCCTCCAGTCATTAGAATAGTGCGTGAAGTTCAATTCTCTGCATTTGTTTTTGTTTTTTAAAAAATAATTTTAATTTTTTTTAAAAAAAGTAATACTTTTAGCCATGTCCCTTCATTTCACATCTTTGTTAGATATCTTCATCAGTTACATATTAAAGTACAGAAACTTCCTGCCCAACAGAGCAAGACAGTAGTTAACTCTTATCCCTGACAGGTTCCCCGTGTTAATCTGTTAATCACACTTTTTAATAGTCAAAAAGTTGCAACACTGCCTAACTTTAAGTACGTTACAGTGAAAAATATTTATATGTATGTTTCTGTTTCTGTTTCCCAAGAGACTTTAACATACGGCACAGTGACAATTCTACAGATTAATTCAAGAAAAGCCCATGGTATTAATACAAGCTGTTAATATTATGCATTCTTCCTTTTTTAAATTCTTTATAACTTAATTACAAGCAGTCAAGTTGGGGTGTGTATGTGTGTGTGTGTGTATGTGTGTTTGTGTATGTTCCCTAGGACCAGCCTAACAAGAGAAACCAGTATGTTAGGCTTATACCTTAGGCGCTAGTTATTTTAAAATTTCATTTATTATGCACTGAAAGTACAAAGCTCAGTATTTACAGAATGGATCATTCTTAAGAAAAAGGAAAGTGAAGTGCTTCTCAAAATGTTTGCATTTAACCAATTGTTTTGAACTATGTCATTGCACAATACTTCTTGCTTGCCATCACATCCAGGAAGAAGGTTTTTTTGTAACTTATGTTGATGACAGATGGTGAACTGCATAAGTCCCACAAATCTACAACTATTTTTGAAGCAAACAATAAGAAACTGCAAGTTATTCTAATGCATCTGTACTAAATTAGCAACTTGTCAGGAATTGCAGGAAGCATTATTGCCACAAAATTTCAAAAATATGTTCCAAACTGCTGAAAATTAACAAAAAATTATACTTTGAATCAGACTTCTCCATCTTGGTATTCCTCAGATGTATGATCCAGCTCTCCAGATTCTCAGGAAATATTGCATGCTAATTGCTAGAAATTCTGAGAGTGAAAGTATATATTTCTGAAAGCTTCCAAAATTGGGTAAGTGATTTTGCTTTTAAGAAAAGAAGGCACCTTAATGAAAGAATGATGTGTGGTCTAGGCTTTTACAAGCAACTAATTTCAGGCCAAATTCGTTTATTTTTCATAGGCCTTTCTACTGCAAAAAGCAATTAATAATAGTCTCTTGACTTAAGCTCAACTGCAGATATCTGTATGGATTAGTCCATCTAGATTTCTTTTGCAACAAGATGACAAGAGATTTACTACTGCTTTCTATCAGTACTTGTTCTTTTACGATTTAGTTGAGCCATTAACCATAGTCTTCCATATGATCATGCTTAGTTTTTTTTTTAAAAAATCAAAATTAGATAGGTGGTGTCACCTATTGTGATAAAAAAATGATTATTACTGAAATAAAACCCTATTTAGTTTAGTTTACTTTATCATCACTGCACCTCGTACAACGAAATCAAACACCATCTTCAGTGCACATCATGACCATGAAAATAAACATGCATGCTTCACACTCCACACATTGAATTGAAAAACCCTGACATTGCACCAACACTGCACTATACAATAGAATTCAACAAGCTTCTGCCCTGGAATAGAAGCTGTTTTTCAGCCTATTTGTCCTTGTTTTTATTATTCTGCACTGTCTGGCAGATGGTAATAGTTCAAAAAAAAAGGATGCCCAGGATGAGATGGATCTTTAAGAATGTTTTGAACTTTCTTAAGGCAGCAGGAGCTATAAAGCTCTTCCAAAGAGGGGACAAAGCAACCAATGATCTTTGGGCAATGACCTTAACCTTCTGGAGTGCTTTCTTATCTGCCACTGTGCAATTGGCAAACTATACAGAGGTGCAGTAAGTTAAGTTACTCTCTATGGTGCAGCAGTAAAAGGTCCCCAGCAGTTTTTTATTCAAGTTGTTGTTTTCTGAGAAGTCTCAGGTAGTATAATCTCTGCTGGGTCCTTTTGACCAGTGCTGCAATGTGAGCACCTCGGGTCAGGTCCTCTTTTATGGATATGAATATGTGCTGCTCAAAACTGAATATTGATAAAACTATTTTTTCAGAATTTAAATTAACAATTATGCTTGAAAACAGATTGATTGTATTGAAAAGAAAATGCCAAATAACATTCATAATTGGCTTAGGTCAATACAGTGTGTGTATTGACTTTCAGTTTGTAATGATTCCTCACAACTACATGGAATATTCCCTCAGCAAGATTTTGGAAAGTAGTTTGCA